CTATGTTGCCATCAGAGTCATCTCTATGATTGAACTGAATGAATGGTTATGTAGTCGAAGGACACTGGGTAGGATTCTGTACTTAAAATATCTCCCCCTCAACTAGCCCTAAATACACAAAATTTGAAACAAAGAGCTTTTTCCCACACATACTTCCTACTAGGGTTCTAGTCATGCAATCACAGAATGTCAGAGGAGGCCTTAGAGTGTTCCAGTCACAACTCTTTACTTTAGAGATGGAAGAACGGAGACCCAGAGAAAAGAAGTAACACAAAGTCACACAGCAAGTCATGACCAGGCAAGGACTAGAACCTGACATTGAATATAAGGTAGAATGTGACAATGTCTTAAAAATGATATGAAGCAAGTGATGTGGAACTGTGAAAGGTGGAGAAATAACGTCCTGCTGTGTTGCTTGGTTAAGGAATCGGGAAGGAAGGGACCTCAGTCGAAGGACGTCTGTTGAATATGATTTCAGAATGCCATAAAGAGTGGTGGTGGGAAAATGTCCAGACTTAGGAACTACCAAGTACTCCCATTTGGGTGAACTACAATGCCATCATCTCAAAAGAAGTGTTGAGGTCATCTCATATAATCTAGTAGCAAGTCTGTAAGGTGAGAGGTAGCCTCCATAGTGTGATGAAATGGCTTACAAAGAGCCTGCTGACGGCAGAACCAGGACTCAGGCCCGATCCTGAAACAGAAAGCCCAGTATCCTTTTCACACCACCACCATTTGCCCTGTCCTTGCTAAGGGCTGTTTTTTTTTTTTTTTTTTTAATTTTAGGGGCTGCGTTGTAGAGGGTTTCAAATGCCCAGCTAAGGAGTGTTGACTTGATTCGATAAGCAACACGTTGTTTAAGGTTTCTGAATGAAGAAAACGTGATTAGAGCTTTGCTTTAGAAATTTAATCTGGTAGGAGTGTTAGGGTGCATTAGAGACTGAGGAAACTAAACCAAAGAAACCACTTAGAAGAAACCAAACAAACCCACTGCCGTTGAGTCAGGTCTGACTCATAGCAAACCCCTCCTTGGGCTTCCGAGGCGATATCATTACAGAAGTAGAATGCCCAACTTTCCTTTTGGGAAGTGGCTGGTGGGTTTGAATCTCCAGCCTTCTGGTTAGCAGTCAGATAGATGCTTTAGGCACTGTGCCACCAGAGCTCCCGCTTAGAAGAGCATTGATATAATTGAGGGACATTTTAGTTATCTAGTTCTGCTATAACAGAAATAACACAAGTGGATGCTGTAACAAACATAAATCTATTTTCTTACAATTTAGAGGCTAGAAATCTGAATTCAGGGCATGAATGCTAGGGGAAACCTTTCTCTGTGGGCTCTTGGGGGGAGGTTTTTGCCTCCTTTCAACATCTGTGGGCCCATGTTCCTTGGAGATCTACATGTATCTTGGCATTGATTTTCTTCTGAGTCTAGGAGATACCTAGCACAGACTCCAACTTCAAAGGATGTGCTGTGCTCTCAGCTCTGTCTGCTCTCTGGGGAGTAGTTATAGCCCTCCTGTAGTTAAGGAGCTTGCTTGTTTAATCTTTTATATCTCAAAAGAGATGAATTCAAGATACAATCTAATCCTGCAGATTGTATCCTGCCTCATTAACATAACTGCCTCTAATCCTGACTCATTAACATCATAGACCTTAAGATTTATAGTTATATCAGATCATGAAATGGAGAGTAAGTACATAGTACTGAGACTCATGGCCTAGCCAAATTGACATATATTTTGGGGGATACAATTCAATCCATAACAGGATCTAACTCATAAGAGACTGGACTAGGATAATCTGAGGGTTGAGTAATTTAAGTACCTTGTCCAAAATCATCTGAGGTTCAAATTCAAGTCTGTTTTTAATGACTGTATCCTGGAACCAGCACGTAATCCCTTAAAGCTAATTTATGAGTTGTTAAAAAATGATGTCTATATAACTTATGTGCACGGAGCCCTGAACTAGTCTAGAGATGGGAATGGGTGGTGTGTGCAAAAGAATTATAATGGAGCTAAATAAAATCATCAGTTTTTCCAGGCACTTTAAATAGGTATATATGGGGAAGTGTTAGAAGGTACATACAGTGCAAGAAGAGGTGACTTTATCTGACTTCAGCCTGAATGTTAGCATCAGGTTTAAAATCTGTCAAATTAGGTAGGAGTTAGCACTAGTAGCAGATACTTTTCATACTTGTTTCTCATGACCATCCCTCCCCACTCCCCCCCCCAAAAAAAAAAAAAAACCTGCCATTGAGTCATTGCTGGCTCATTGTGACCCTCATGGGGTTTCTGAGGCTGTAAATCTTTACAGAAGTAGATCATACCCAGTCTTCCTTCTGTGGAGCAGCTGGTGGGCTTGAACTGCTGACCTTCAGGTAAGCAGAGCCTCAAATGTAAGATTTTTAAATCTTGTGGACGTTTATTACACTTGACAATACCTTGACCATGTATATACATTTCTGTGGTTATAGGGTGCTGTTGACTCAATTTTGACTCACAGTGACTCCATGTGACAGAGTACAGGAGCCTCATAGGGTTTTCTAGGCTGTAATCTTCACAGGAACAGTTCACCAGGGCTTTCTCCTGTATGCAGTAGAGTTACGGAGTGGGTTTGAACTGCCAGACTTTTAGTTAGTAGCTGAGTACGTACTCATTTACCACTCCTCCCCCCACACACACACACCACCTAGATTCCTTCTCTTTTTGAGTTTCTGGCCCTTTTTTCTCTATAAACTAGCTCCCTGCTTGGACTTCCCTGAGAGCAGGCTGCTTGTCCCTCAAACTTTTCTTCCTCTTCTATCAGTTACTCTCCTTCCTAAGCAGTGGGTGACTTTTCAGTTACTGCTCTGTAATGTGCAGGGCAATCCCATCTTTTCATTGCCATTGAAAAGTGACCAGTGTCATTGGTCTGTGCCTGCCGATTTGTCTGTGCCAGATGTAATATATTATGCATGTCACCTCAAAGTCCAATTCCCTGTGTGGGCTTGGCAGCACTCCCCACCCCCCCAGCTGATGTTTCATTCCATCCTGGCATCCTAGGGATCCTTATTAAGTACTTGAGACAATTCAGACCTCTCCATTCCAACTGTGTGCTGCTGAGGCCAAAGGCTCAGATCCATGTTGTGCTGATCCATGTGTTTTAAGTTAAACCCACAGACTGTGGGGAAAACCCCAAACTTTTGGGTTTGGCTCCTGCAGTCCAGTTATGCTTGTTGAAGTTACAGAGGCTTCTAAAACTGGCATCAAGTTTGTGTCTGTTTTGGAGGATGCAGCCCAGTTTATGCTGCTCTTGGTCACTTGGAGTGTTCTGAGCAGATCTTCAAGGAGTTGATGATGAAGGCATTGAGAGTAGAAGGCATTGTGGAAAACTCACAATTCCAGGATCTTGTGAATGTAATGTAAAATTGGAAAAAAAAAAGAAGATAAAAGAACCCAAAGACTTTTTTAGAGGCCACCTTTCAGTGGAACGATTTCACAGGAATGAGGAGAGTAGAGAGAGCTTTTCTGTTGGCAAAAATAATATCCTGGAACTGTAAGGGATCTCAGGAAGCCACGGCTTAGTCCATCCCCCAAATACTAGGTAGGATTCTATAAATATTTTCAAGTAATTGGTTGTGTAGCCAATTTGAGTGATCTATTTTTTTCAGCTTCATTTTTTCAGCAGTGTCTACTGGCCACCTCTATTCACCCAGGCCCTTCACCCATTTGATGATGATTTGTGTGAGCTGAGATAACGCAGCTCTTCACTGACCTTGAAGAAGGGCAGAAGGTTAAGGCCGCACCACCTGAACTCTCCCCGTGCTCTTCCCTCCTGCTCTGTTTATGGAGTCTGTCCGTAGTTGGGAAGCTTTCCTTCTTCCCCATAATCTTGACAGCTGGCCCAGAACAAAAGAGAGGGCCTTCTCTTCCTCCCTCTGCCATTTGTTTACTTGTGCTGGTAAACTACAACCTATGTGATAATTAGCAAGGCAGCAAAGAGGCCACCTGCCATGGCTTCGCTTTTCTTTTCTTCCGTAGCCCCGTAGCCTGTAGCCCGCTCTGCCCTGGAAGCCTCAGGAGCTAGTGTAAGGTGTATCAGCATTGGCTGGTGTCAGGGGACTTAGGTTCTAACTCTACCTTCGTGCTTCTCAAGTTCCTCCTTTGGAAAAGAAAGGGAGGGATGATTAGTTGATCCCTAACTCGCTTCTAGTACAGTGATACATATTTGTGCAGACGCTGTTAGAAGCTCTGGGGATTCAATGCAAAGTACATACCCTTCTTCCCTAAATATGGCTCAAGCATTTGTTCTCATTCCTTGCTTGAACGTCTTGTGTTAAAGGAATAAACACAGATCGTTTTCTTTGGTCTGATGTAGAGTATCTTTTTTTTTTTTGCTTTCTACCCCTCAAATCCTTCTCATTGCAATTTATACATATTTTGTCTAATTTCTGCAAAAACTTGAGACAAGATCAGCATAGGTTAATAGCATGCCCTTTATGATATATTTATATGAACAAAAATGTTCAAAATGGTGCCTGGTTGCATGATAGGCTCAGAAACAGAAGAAAAGATCCTCAGTTTTGAAGAAATTATAGCTCATATGGTGTCATAAGGTTCTTAGGTTACAACAAAGGTGGGATTATGTAACTGAAAGTGTGTGTGTGTGTGTGTGTGTGTTTAAATTCTTAGAGGATGTATATAAGGGAGTCATCTAGGATGCACTGCACCCAGGAAGTACTCAAGAGAGATGACTAGCTGGCTGCATCTCCTTTCCTCTGGGTCATGGAGAGGGCTTGTGTGCTGGTTGTAAGTCCTTTTTTAAAACTTCTTCCCCCATCCTCTTTACTTTAGATTTTGTGTGGGCATGTGAGGGAAGGTGGGGAATTTTTATGCTACCCTTTCCCCTTAATCCCTGAGACGAGATGCTTCTGATAAGGCTCAGACCCTTGTTGACAGAGTCTTTGGAAGGCAACAGAGCCTTTCATGGCCAGCAACTGACCAGAGCTGTTTCTCTTTCAGAGATGAGAAGAACCAGTCCATCATAGTCAGCGGGGAGTCTGGAGCTGGGAAGACAGTGTCAGCCAAGTATGCCATGCGCTATTTTGCCACAGTCGGCGGCTCAGCCAGTGAAACCAACATTGAAGAGAGGGTCCTGGCATCGAGTCCTATCATGGAGGTAAAGCCTTCCGAAGTTCTCAGCCTTCCTGGCTGGAGTTTTTTCTGCTGGCAGCAAGATTGCTGGTTGTCAAGTCCTCCTTGACTAATCACAAGAATCTTTGGAAAGAGCTCACGTATCAGCCTGAGGGCCTCATTGTCCACTGTTAGGAAACAGTTCCACCCTCACCACACTTGGTTAGGTGCCAAAGACAAAGTCAGTATTAGAAAATTGGCATTATGCAAAAATGGAGGATGACCACATCAGATTACTAAATGGAGAATAACTATGTCATAATATAACTATCAAATTACATCGTCACATAACTGCCAAATTCTATCATTGATTGCATAACTGCCAAACCACTGAGAACCATGACCCAACCAAATTGACACATAACTTTAACCATTATAACCAGCATTACTCTCACCTTGGACCTCAGCATTTGTTTCTGCCAGATACATATTATTAATGCACAAAATAATTGAATAATAGATTTTTAAAATTTTAAATTTGTAAACGTGAAATATCAGATAACGAGAAAGTCATTAAGTGAAGAGTAGGTATATAAAGGTGCCCTGCAAACCACAGATTTGAGAAAATGTCCTTCAGGTCCCCAGTATTGGGCAGAGTGTTCTCCACATCCCTTGCCTGTGGATCCTTGAATGTTGCATTCACAGTTCCTCCCCACCTTCCTCAACAGCACCTTCTGTGGCTGTTCTCCCTCTATGCTGCCATCGTGTGTCAGAAAACCAGTGCTCCACCATAACCGTTAATTAGATGCTTTAGAGGGCCCACTGAGTCAGGAAGTCACTTCTCATGATGGATGGGGAAACTGATGTAGAATGTTCTTTTGCTCCCAAGAAAATATTTGGGCATTTTATCTTTTTGCCAGGAGAGTGAAGAATAATGGTATGTGATAAAATGGCATCATTGAACATCCTCAGAAAACAGTTACCTGTAATGCCAGGGTTGGAAGGGATATTGGGCAATCTACTTCTGTATGTAGAGTTACCACGTTGGAAACCCAAGGAAGGGTAACTATGAGTCAGAATCGACTTGACAGCAGTGAGTTTGGTGTTTTTTTTTGGTGTGATACCAGGGCAGATCCTGTCTTATAATGTCATCCCTTCTGCCATTCCAGGGCACCATAATAAAGGCCTGAGATACATGGGCTCAGAGCAGTCAGTGCAATGACAAGGTCCAAAATATTCCCTAAAAATCAGATCTTGCTATAACCAATCCTCGGAAGGAAGATTAGGCGTTCTACTTCCGTAGCAGTACTGCCTTGGAAACCCAAGGAGGGGTCACTATGAGTCGGATCCAACTCAGTGGCAGTGAGTTTGGTTTTGGTTTATAACCAATCACGTTTGAGAGTCAGAACTCCATTTCTATTTGTTCTTTCCTCTATAAAGACTTCATTCTGATAGAGTGGAACTAAATGTCTGCATCTTTCCCAGGCTAGCTCCAGTTCCCTGCCTTTGAAGATGACGCTCTTTGTTATTATTTGCATTATAGTCAGGTAGGAGTGGGCCCTTTGGCTAGCCCTAGTAGTTTTATTAAAAAAAGAGTTAAAATTTATTAGAGCCCTAGTAGCACAACAGGTAAGTGCTCTCCTACTAACTAAAAGATTGACATTTGAACCCACCCCAGAGGTTCCACAGAAGAAAGATCTGGTTATCTGCTCCTGTAAGCAGCCTAGAAAACCCTGTGGGGCAGCTGTGCTCTGTCGCATGGGATCACTATGAGTTGAAAATCAACTCAAACGGCACACAACAAGAAGAAGGTTTATTAAGGAGGTTGAGGCCACAGGCTGCCAAAACAGCCTAAGGCTTCCCTGAAGAGCCCTGAGCCCCATCAATTCAGACACAAGTAACCAGGATGGGGTTAGCCTTTCAGATTATTTTGGACCTGAGGGGAGTAAGACCCTACCTGGACCTTCCCAGGCCCCATGGAGCTCTTCCTTCCTTTACAAGTGCAGGAGTGAAATCTGAGCCTCAAGCCAGAGGGTTGTATGGGTTATCTAGACAAAATCTCTAGCCTACAGAGATGTGCTGTCTGGATAACTTTCATTCTCTGAGTGTTAGAACATTGCCTTTTTATTAAGAATTCAAGAAGAACAAGTTTCTGTATCTGTTGTATGAAATGGGAAATGATCAAGACAATCCAAGGCATTTTTACCTAATAGGAAAAACTTTTGTTCTATTACATTAGTTCTCTAACTTGAATGTACATCAGAATTACCTGGAGGGCTTGTTAAAGCACATATTGGTGGGCCTTCAGCCCAGAATTTCTGATTCAGAAGGTCTAGGGAGGGGCCTAAGAATTTGAGTTTCTCATAAATTTGTATAATGACGCTAATGCTGCCGGTCTGGGTACCACACTGTGAGAACTTCTGACCTTTTAGAAAGGTACCAAGGGCTCACTGGAAAATAGTTGGAAGATAAGGAAGAATAAAAGAAAATCTCCCATTATCTTGCTAATGGACCTGTGGCGGCACTGTGGTTAAAATGTGGGGTTGCTAATCAAAAAGTCAGTGGTTTGAACCCATAGGCCACTTTGATGGAGAAAGATGAGGCAGTAAAGATTTACAGCCTTGGAAACTCCATGAAACATTTCTACTCTGTCCTATAGGGTCGTTTGGAGTTAGGATTGACTCAATGGCAGTGAGTTTGTTTTTTGTTTTTATCCTGCTAATAATCATTTAGTGCTTTGTTATATTTTCTTCTAGCTTTTTTCACTGAACTTCATAGCTTAAACCTGTCCTCAATCATGGAACTTTTTATGAACTCTCTTATTGGCTACAAACATATGTTAATGGATGCTTTTACCATAATTTAATCCCCTATTGTCAAGCATTTAGTTGGGTTGATTTTAAGCCCTGAATTGTATGGCCTGGCCTTGGTACCTGTGCAGAAGGTGTTCGTGGACCATGACCTCCCTTGGACCACCTACTGTGCTGTAGTAAGGCAGCTAAGAGAATACTTTATAATTCACATCATATTTTTTACCTGAAATGTGAGTGAAGCCAGGCTTTCAGCTGGTTTGCTTTTGCTCTCTGGTTTCAAAAATCAATTAGTCTTTTAGGCAGTAAGATTTCAAAGACACATTGCTTTCAAAAATAGAACAAGTAGTTATTCTGGACAAAATAGAGAAGGGAAGAAGCTGTTTGATGTTTGGTGATGAAACAAAGAACTTGCTAATCAAGACAGAAGTTTAGTGAAGACAGATTACCACATTACTAAACATGTATGAGATGCAGGGGGTGTGCTTTTTCAATTACAGTGGTCTAAAATTATCTAATGTTTGTAGTGTCCTTTATGGCCTAAGTAGGCTGGTAGACTGCAGGGAGGCAGGCACTTTGGCAAGGGAGAAGTGGTGGGAGAGCAACAGTTAGGGATTGAATTATGTCTCCCCAAAATATGTTTTGTAAATCCTAACTTCTGTGCCTGTAGTTAAAATCCCACTTGGGAATGAATTGTTTTTGTTACATTAATGAGATAAGATTAGTGCAGGGTGTGGCTTAAATCTCTTTTGAGATATAAAAGAGATTAAACAAGCAAGTGAGAGAAGCAGAGATGGGAGAAGAGAGATGCCAAGCTCAGGAGCAGAAGCTCAAAAAGAGACAAGAACCTTCTTCCAGAGCTGACAGAGAGAGAAAGCCTTCCCATGGAGTCAACACCCTGAATTCAGACTTCTAGCCTTCTGACTGAGAAAATAAATTTGTTGTTAAAGCCACCCTTTGTGGTATTTCTGTTACAGCAGCATTAGAAAACTAACACCCATAAGCAAAAATACACAAGAAGTGGTTCAGTTGCTAAGGTCACACAAGAAGTGGTCCAGTTGCTAAGATCTAAGGAGAAGGGATGTATGCTAGAAGCAGCCTATGCTTATGAGGTGTCATTAAGTAAGTGCTACAGTGGTTTGCACTCAAAACATTAATTTTTCTGCCTTTTGAAAATTGGTACTTTAGAAAATGTGTTGATAAGTCCTTATGGTTCCTTCTGTCCAGTGTGGATTTTGCCATCATAGGGACTGTCCCTTGAGCTGTTTTTAAGTGTTATATTTGAGAAGAATCTTGCATATGATCACAGAAAGGAAGAATTACAGCCAGGAAGAACCCTGGGTGAAATTAGAAAGAATTGTTGCCAAGGAGGGAGAAACTTCTGCATCACCAGTGTCTGAAAATCTAACTTCTAGAGATTCCGACTCTAGCTGGGCCCTTGTATCCAGAAAGCCAGTCAGTTTTCTGCCTCTTGAGAGGACCATAACCAACACAAGGCATGTCTTAATCAAGGAACAGCTGATTACTGATTACTCTGTCCCTGTCTGAGGGAAGGATTGTACCTCTCAATGAAGCAATCAGTTATGGTCATGTCATCATCCCTTTATTTCTGCAGCCTAGCCACTGCAGTTGTCTCCCAGGGAGCTCTGAGTATCCAGGGCAATTGGCCGAGGCAGAATTCCCAGTGGGCTCTAGGAAATGGCAGTGATATGGATTAAAGGTGACTTGAGGATGAATTGGGATTGGCTAGGGTAATTGGCATGATTTATCATCAATGTCAGGTCTCCCTGACCCCATTCTGTTTAAAAGCTTGTCAGCCTACCAGAGTGATTTGTCCACCAGTCTGCACTGATTAAAAGAACATTGGCAATCAAGAGACTATTACTAGACAAACTAGATGACTGGAACCTTCTAAAATTAAACACTTACTCACATCATAAGACTTATCCAAGAGAGTAAAAAGAAAACCTACAGATTGGAGGGAAAAAATTTGGCAACAACATATCTGAAAAGGGACTAATTCCTAAATTCTATAGAAAACTTCAACACCTCAACAACAACAACAAAAGAACTAACTCAATTAAAAAAGGGGCAAGAGACATGAATAGCTGTTTCACCAAAGAAGACATTCAGGCAGTCAGGAAATACCTGAAGAGATATGTGTGACCATTAGCCATTAGATAGATGCAGATCAAAACAACAATGAGATATCATCTCACCCCAACAATAACAGCAA